AAAAAAAAAAAAAAAACCCCTCCTCGCATCAGATCAGACTGATTTATCCGTTGTCAGATATTACTGGCATCAGCTACGACAAGGCACGTCCGCACACGCTGTTGCTCTGACTGGTTTGTCTTACGAATTCATGCTCAGCTGAATAGCATCCATCGAATGATGGCGCGGGCCGTTTTCGTACTTCTATGGGTGCATGGCGGAAACAAGGTAGGCAGATATCCGATTGAATTAGAGATAGACCGCTGATTAGCGGTTGCATCCATACAGTTCGCCACGTAAGTGCTGCCGTACGAGTCCAGCGTGCATGTACGGTGCTAATTATCAATGCGCAGATCTGTATGGTCTGACTATCCATCATACTTCATCCCGATCGGGCTTACTGCGATGGTGGCGTTCAGCCTTCTTATCATTGTGTCACTTCGCCCCATTAGAACCAATGCATATGAACTCTTCTTTGTGACTCACTTCCTCATGGCCCTGTACGTTTCACTGCCCATAGACTCCCATGTCGCGCTAACCTGATGCTTCCGCTAGCCTCGTTCTTGTGGGTGGATACATCCACGCCAATGAACAGTACATGGGTGCATACATCTGGCCCAGCCTTTTGATTTGGGGCTTGGACCGGTTCATCCGCATCGTGCGGGTTCTGGTGTTCAACCACCCTTATTCCTGGTTTACGTCGGAGAAGCACGATCTCGACGCTACCGTCGAGCTGCTCTCTCCGCACTTCGTCCGCCTTCGTCTCGCCCGTCCCCCGCACTTCCACTGGAGGCCTGGTCAGACTGCGTACATAATGATGCCGTCGGTGTCCAAATTGCCCACCGAAGCGCACCCGTTCACCATCGCGAGCATCGAGGATCCAGGCAACGAGCTCGTGGACGAGAAACTGGGCGAGACCGCGCCATATTGGAAGGAGCTCGTGTTCATGATCCAAGTGCGCGAGGGGTTCACCAGGCGACTGGCCGATGCTGCGCGCAAAGGCGAGAAGGTGAAAGTGCTCGTTGATGGCCCGTACGGCTTCACTCCGGATCTGACGAACGACGACACGGTGGTTCTCGTCGCTGGTGAGCCATTATCGCCGCCGATCAGCCGATTGTGTGCGTATCTGACGGATGTTGGCAGGCGGGTCAGGCGTCACTTTCACACTCTCGAATTTCCTGGGGGTCGTCAAGTGAGTGGTGCTCCCAATCACTCGGCTGCCGCAGCCCGCTCACGCTGTTGCTCCCATAGCGATGTGCACGCAGGCAAGAGCTCGTGCCGGAAGATAGTCTGGATCTGGACTATCAGAGACTCGAGTGCGTACCTGTGAACCGCTTGACGAAACGCACGAGTCTGTCTGACGTGTCTCCCACAGACCACATTGATTGGATCTCCAAGGCGCTGTCCAAGGCGCTCGAGCGTGCCCCTCCATCTCTGACCATCAACATCCTCGTTTATGTGACGTCCGGCGAGCCCCTTCCCGTCCGGCCTCAGCAGTCGTTCGACGACGACTCGGTGCACAACTCCGAGACGTCCTCCAAGGAGGGCGACAAGTCCAGCGCGATGGTCTCCCTGCTCGAGTTCTCAGCGGTCCAGGTATTCGGCGGACGCCCCGACCTCCACACGCTGCTGCGAGACGAGGTGGACGCCACCGCTGGACGTATGTCCGTGACAGGTGAGACGATGATCCCCGCCCGAGGGCTGTTCCCCGCCGTTGCTGACGTCTACGGTCCTGTCTCCCAGTGTGCGGCTCACAGGCCATCGCGCGCGCGTGCCGCGCTGCGCTCCGTTTCCCCGTTTCCGGGCCCTCCAACGTGCTCAAAGGCGGTCCGGACGTTGTACTGCATGTCGAATCGTTCG